CTTGCTTTCACAGTTCTTTCCGAATTTCGTCATGGACCCTTCAACAAAGAGTTTTTGGCGCTCCCTTCGAAATGCGCTGTTTCGAGCATTTTTCAGCTTCAACATCAACCATCTTGAATAATCCATTCAAATTGGGGGTTTGGCTGGGCAATCTTCGTTCGACGTGAAGTCGGGCAAATGGGCTCGGCATCGGGCTTTCACAATACCGGCACACCACATTGCTGATAAATCTAACAGGTAAATTGTAGGACTGTCAGAAGCTTTCTTTGGCATTCTATCTCAGATAGCATTTTTCTGTCATTGTACGCATCCAAGAAACCAACGAAGCGGAAGAAGCCAGGGTTGTTCAAATTAATTTATATCTACCTGTTCTCTTGGTTTCCCCGGAATCCTCACCAATTACTGTATCTCTTCCAACAATCGTCCTCTCGAAAGTTTGAAGAATTCTCATCGGCCTTCATACCCTCCATTTTAAATAACGAAAAGCGTCGGCTGCAGGCCCATACACCACAAGTGACGACGGGCCTCCAAGTAAATCTGGTTTGATAGTGGTTCATAGTGATAGCTGATTTTTGGTAAATGATAGTTGTAATTAGTGACAACTGAAGAAATACAACTGCAACAGGCTAATCATTTCACTTGGCAGAAAACTTGCATTTTGTGATGGAGGTCGTCACTTGTGGTGTATGGTCTGCACCCGATGTTCTTCTTGTTATTTGAAAGGGGGTATGAGTTCCGTTCGCAGCCCCTGCCGAAACCTCTCTCGAAATCGCACTGTTTCACTAGTTGATTTTGAATCTGTAGTCAATTTCCTAACATTACGCAGTGAATTGCAATGGATACGCTTTTCAACAAGGGCATCATTAAAGCAAAGGTCGTGCTCAGCCTCACTGATGAGGTGGTCCCTTAAGTAATTTGGTGAGCTTTTTGCGACAGTTATCCACTAGTGAGCCACTTCGCAGCTCTACTTCCGCATTCGAGGAGGTAACCTGTGCGAGGAAGTCTACTAATGAGGAGATCCACTTCACTTGAGAGTCTCATGGAGTCCTGATGATGCTTTCTAGATAGATCAAATCTCGGAGAAATTTCTGCGGACGGCGCGTCAGGCTAGAAACCCAGTTGCTTTGGACGAAGAGGAGCCATTCATCAAGCGAAGCTAAAAAAACCCCGGACCCCATTACAAATTATTGGGTATGAGACCTACAATCAGAAAAACGCCAGTTCAGCGCTTCTGCTCACTGTTACAACTGCGCTGTGTTGAAGCCCAGTCTTATCGTTATACTTATGCGCCACCCTGCCCACAGTAACACCTGCTTTTGCTACACAAAAGAAAGCTGCTAAATCTGCTGACTGATGAAAGCTCTCACGGTGGCGTATTGTTTGTAGCTGTTCCATGTGCTTTCTGACACACACAAGTTTGGACGAAAACACAATTTTTCAGCAACTCCCAACTTCCCTCTTCACAAAAGCTCAGCATCGTTGTAAAAATTATGTTTTCCTTCATGAGTGGAAACTTTACTAACGCCCTCAATTCATTCCAATTGTTTTACACGGAAACCCTTCTGAAAAAATGCAAAGTAAAAGCTGTTCACGGAGACCCTCGCCAACATCGATCTGTTTGAGACGAGCCTCGCATTCTGCTTCCACTCAAAATCTTGTTGACGTTTCGAATACCATTTGGCCTATAACTTTGGGGACATTGCATAGGCATAATCATTGTATAGCCGATGTAGAATTCAGTTTTTATGTTTTCACAAACTAGGTTGATACTAGCGGATCTTGGAGGGATGGGATCAGGGCGGTCATCTTGGACAACAGCCGACGCTTGATCCCCCGGACCAACTCGGCTAATCGAACCGACAACGATGGATGGCTTGGCTCTGCCGAAGAGTTCGAAGTCTGCTGACAATTGACGGCGTTTTCCAGGTTTTTTGCGTGGCCTTGTTATATATACAATGGTCTACATTCTACATGGAAAATTATTGAGATACAATCGAGTTGTAGGTCGCAGACAACTGTGACAAACGTCCATCGGCTTGCGTTGCTAAGCTGTTTCAAACGGCAGCCGGTGCTGATGATTGAAGCGAGCCAAATCCGCCAACGGTAGTGTAGAGTGAGGCCCTCATGATAACTAAACAGTGCTTTCTCGGAGGCCTTAGTGTACATTACATAGCAAAGCTTTATTCGCCACTCTAAACGCCTTTGTGCTTCTGTCCGTCTTCCGGTCGCGTGCCCCACCAGCTAGTCCTTTGCTGTTCGGATGTAGCCTTTGAGCTGAGAGTAAGGCAGGTGTCAGAGTCCGCGATCTGTCGCAGGTTTCACAGGTTTCGCGATTCGCGCGACGGATCACAGAAATCACAAGTGCCCGATCAATACTGCAAGGTGCTCTCCAATCCCGCCGCCATTTTTGCTTGATGGTGATGGCTGAATGACGACTGTTCATGATTCTACTTGTTTCATATTCAGTGTTTCAAATTTTCCAATGGAACACTTGGATTTTTGCGACTCGTGCGAAACTTGCGAAACCTGCGACGGATCGCGGTCTCTTACTCCAGCCTAAGAGTTATGCGTCCATTTTGATTATGGCTCCTATCTGGCCTCAGAAATCGGCGAGTATAGAGCAAAAAGGAGTGTCGTATTTCTTTTTGTTTTTTCCCTCCACAACTACACCGTTTGCTACCTCACATTCAGTTTACAAAAGCGACCGTTTCATCGTAAACCTGCCTTTGAAAGGGCAATTTCACTTAATGTAACGAAGTTAGCACGACACTGTAAGGCAAAGCCTTTAAAACCAAACTTCATTCTCGTGGCATCGCTTTCTACTTGTGATCGGTTACCTAAAGTGCTCTCGTGTACGATGCCTGCGTCTTGCTTCTGTCTGTGATCTCTTCTCTCTTCAAGCCTGCTCGCTCTTCATTCAGGCTTGTGAAGTTTGAGTGGATTACAATACAGAAGCTTTATTTATGGTGTTTCGGCTGCTTCCTCTGTTTTTTCTTTACTTACAGTATCCTTCTTGAACCCATTACCATATTCTGCATTCATGAATTCTTCTTCGTCAGCTTAGCAAATTATGTTCGGATTTTTGCCAGTTAGATCAGTTATTTCCCTCCTTGCGTTGAGTTCCTATTATCTATTTTTTGGTGATTTGCATTTTTTTTTTTTGAAAGGTCCGCGATTGCGTTTCTGACGGACGTGGCCATCCTTGCCACCAGTGTGCTGAGGACTTTCAACTTTGATTCAGAAGTCTCCTTCAAAACACCATCTCTAGCAAAGTGATGGACAGGAACCAGTGCGTAAATATTTATCCACTCTCCCAGAATTCCCTATGCATCCTTCTGAATGACCAGTAATTGCTCATTTATTTGTTTAGAGAACACGACGTGGACATCGTCGTGGTTGTGGCTGTAGTGACCTGTATATTTTTATTACCGACAATATTCTTCGCGATTTGTAAGCTACATTCGAGGATGAAGAGAAAAGCACACAAGTAAGTTAATCTGCGAGTCGGCAAGGAACTCCCAGTTGCGGCGTCGTGCGCGAAATGGCCGGCATGGAGACGTCACGTGGCCTTCTCCACTTTTTTGCTAAATTGTTGATTGACTGCGTTTCTGTCTCCTTAGGAGACCGCGGGAGCAAACAAGTGGTCGTACAGGTCACCCAAGTTCACAGGGTGGAGGCGCTATTTCTCGAAAAACGTATATTCCAGAGGGCTGAAAGAGCTGGAGATAAGCATGCGGATTCCAGGTGGAGAATCTGAGACACCCGATAGGAGGCCCGTCGCGCGGCGGAAAGCAGGGACGCAGACGGGTCTGTGGACGAGTCGCAGCGTTGAATACGGTAACTCTCCGGTAGCAAGTGGGTTAAAATGAATAGGGTTAAATGTCACAGTCAGGGTTACCTGCAATGCCAGATAATTTTATAATTTCGCGTCAAGTTGATAGAGAGCCAGAGTAGATCCTCTTGTTTAGCCTCCGTCTAAGGGCACGTGCGAAACGGAGACTAGACTGCTCTTTGAATCCCACCTAGGTTCATATAAAAAACATGCAATAATATGACATGTATAAGATCCAAAAACAATTACGTGCAGCAAACTCTATAATTTAAATTATATCTTACCAACATTTATATTGTTTTGAATGTAAAGTAGTATGTCCACATCACAAGCACGCGCTGCGACGCGTCCTCAGAGCTGCCTGCGTCTCTGCCTTCTCGCTCTGCGACGGGACTCCTGCCGGGTAGCCGAATGTGACAGTCGGCTGAGGCAGCCATTAGAGTAATGTTAGTTAAAAGCCGTGTATGGCAGTTGTTGCCACTTGTTAGTTGATATAACGCACTGCTGAAAAGCCCTTTTAACCCATTCGCGACCGCGCGGGATTGCGCATTAGCAGGAGAGTCAGGAGATCTTTCTACAATAAAATTTGAGTGGATGGAGATTTTCCCTGCCCAGGGCTGGCGTAGATGAATGAGGGTATGAAGATTCTTTTCAGGAAAGAAAACTTTCCAAATTCCATTTGAAACACGGAAACACCGGTGGATGCCATTTCCCGAGAGAGATCTTTGGCAGCCACCGGTGACTGCCATTGTCACGAATGGTTTCTTTGCGGTTGCTTGGCGGTTCTCGTATGCTTTAAGTAATTCCCACCATGAGCATTTTACAAACAATTTCCAAAGGTAGAAAGACTCTAGGAGGTCTTGACCGCATCCTTAGCGCGCTGAGAGATGTGCAACAAATGTGTCCAATGACGTCATCGAAACCGCAGCACCCTTCAGCTACGGTATCCACTGCCATCGATCACATGCTATCATTCGGCGATGACATAGCTTCTACGTGACAGCAAACGATAGCGAAGGGTGAGTGATGACATCCGGGCTTTTGCATGACTCGTAATTTTTGGGAACTCCTTAAGCGCCTACATTCATCTGAGGTGACGTGTGTCTCTCAAATTTCACTTCAGTGGATACTCAGGTCGAGAAGTAATGACCCAGTTCCGTGCTGGAGGAAACCATGGGCAGCAAGGAAATCATTCAACAACGAGGCGAGAAGTGATTTAGGCAAAACGCCCTACGGCTCTGTATTATTCTCTCCTTCGCTTCCATATTTCCTAGTTCACTCCATGAGCTATGAAGTTCTGTACGTGTCGTTAACAAACCCTGAGGGGATGGAAAGTTGGGTTAGCCTGGATGGCGCACGATTATGGATTTGGTGCCACAGACCGTGCGCGTGGTAACGGCCACTTGATAAAAAGAAGACAAAAGCAATTTGAAACAGGGAATATTCAGCTCTTTCAGTTGGTAAATCGCTGCCAATGTCGGCTTATAGTGGACAACACCCGTGTGGCTGATGAAAGAATGAGTATCGGGTTCGAGTTCGACGCTGCCTTATGTCGCTTATCACCTTGAACGCCGGATTACGATACTTTCCGGACCATTTTTAGTTGTTTTTTTTTCATATTCTTTATTTCCACACAATTTCAGACGGGCGTCGGGTTTTTCCGTTGTTTCTATAGCACCGATGAATCGTCCACACAAATCATCCATAGTTCTTCCGCCCATCAGTAAGTTGATTTTTTTGCTTTGTGGTGAGCTCGGCCTGCCACTCGAGCTCGCCCACTCGTCTACGAGTCAGAAGCAGAACCAATAGAAATGTTTCACTCACTGCTACTGAAAAAATTGATAGCGTTGAAGTGGCTGGTTGATATCCCCACCAGGGTCAATCGTGTGTCTAAATATACCAACGAGGAATACCAAGGAACGGGGAATTTGAGATTTCAGTGAGGAGGGTGCGATGGTGAAACATGAAGGGTAGTGTTGTGGAGAAAGCGAGGGAGTTATTTTTGACGATTTTTTTTTTCAAATTTTTGTAGAAAATGTACCCATCTGCCGTTCCTTTGTCATATCTAAACCCCAAACCTCTCCGCTCGACGACAGAGGGATCCAAAGGTGGGCAGATTCCTTCAAAAGCAAATGATACGATAGAAGGCTGAAGAAGGGTAACTACTGTGAGTGGAAGCAGGCTCCAACAGGAAGAAATTTTTGCTTTCCTGCCGGCTTTTTTTTTTCTTGGCCAAGCAAAATTTGTGCGAAACTCATAGGCCGATGTCAGGCTTTGCAAATCAGGCGGTTCGCCACGAGCGACTTGCTAGTGTCCGCGGTCGCGTCGCGTACAGTGAATTGAGCATTCGCTAACGACGCGACCGCGGGCGCTGACGAATTACTCGATTCGCAAAGTCTGACATCACCAAGAAACGTTTTTCCCTTGGTCTCCGCCATCTTCATTTATCGAATATCCAAAATTCACTGTTGACCTAGTATGTTGATGGTTGCCGGCAATTCCACCATTCATCCAAATCGGGAGATTCGCAAAAAAAACAAGAGAAAAGCTATACGAATAATATCGCTCTAATCTATCGCCCATGGGAACAAATCGATATGGAACTTTTCACTCTTTGCTCCTAAGTTCCGTTGGGAAAACCTTAAAAATTCTCTTCTGAAATCTATTCATACAACCTGAAGTGATCTATAAAGCATTGAGTAAACGAAACACACGAAGCGCCTAATACCAATCGATCGAAATTATTTTATTTTTCCTTTGTCTAGGGCATCAGCAAATGTGAAATTTCTGACTAATCGAGTACTTTAGGGCACGTTCCAATGCAACATCGGCCTTCCAATGAACTCTCCACAGTAGAAGCACCTGGTTTGTTTTCAAAATAATTCAGTTCTAATAGAACGTTTCTGAGCAGGTAATGATTAATGATGATAATTAACTCGGATTACAGAAGGCACAGGTAACCTAGCTGAACTTCGCCGCGCTACTTCCAGGGGATTAACATATTGACGACAGCGTTTTGGTTTTTGGCCACGTGGGACAGGGCAATTTTGCGAGCGCGGCCGCCGCACCTAGCAATCGTAAATATTGAATGATAACTTGGAAAGCATCACTGGTACAAAACCATTTCAGCAATATTCAATGCGTAGAAGGTAATCGAGTATATAGTGACGAAATTCCGATCAAAAGAACGTGTAATGGTAATGAAAAAGGAAACTTTAGTCATTTTATCTGTAGTGGATGCCAAAACTCTTTTGATGTGGATGTGCCAAGTGAAACATATATTTTTCTATCCCTTTAGATTTGTATTTACTTTCACTACCCTTTCTCACTGACATGTTCATGAGAATAGGAAGAAAACGAGGAATGAACCGAGCTGCCAATTCCGCTGTGCTTAAAAAACTTCTGCTAAACTGGAGCATATTTGATCATACCGTGACCCATGTCGTTTACAGTTATGTTATGTTGTAATCCATAGAATAGAGACAAGCAAATTGGGAAGAATCCCGCATACGCTAGAAAAAGGGATGACAAGGGTGAGACGCGGTAACGCGTCTCAATGTCCAACGAGGTGCGCAAAGTGAGACGCGTTACCGCGTCTCAATGTCGTCAATGTGTTAAGCTTGGCCTCATGACGACAAAAGGCGCAAAATTTTTGAGATGAACGCTGAATACGGTAAATATCCGATAGCGAGAGGGTTTAACCTCTCTTGACGCTTTCCACCAATGACGTGCTCAACAAGTCTCCGTCTATTAGCCAATGCGACCGCTGCCTTTTAAGGTTATTGTGTAGTGGAGCAATGATTGACACTGGGGCACGCTTGTGTCATTCCCATTCGATCGTTTAATTTTAAACATCATTGCTGTATCTTAATGAGGTCGTTTCAGAGTCAAGTACCCCGGGGAAGATAGAAGGAGTAAACACGCGTCGTTTTTCAGCTTGCTACTTAACCGAGCTGAAACTCATGGATGTAGGTCCATTACCTCATGATCAAGCTGTTGTGGAAGAGCAACGAGAACGTGAATTGGAAAAGCGAGCATCGCCTCGCTGTCCAAATCAATTAATGAGCTCATTCACAACTGCATTATTACCGAATTTGCTTGTAATAATTGATGTTTCTTTTAAATTTAACATGGTTCCTTCTGCTTCAATTCACTGCCTTTCTGCTCATGTTTGTAATAATTAATTATTATGATCTCTGAATTAGATTCAACAGTGCTAGTAATATTGATAATTGTGAGTTCTCGTACGTGTTTGTATCATCTCATTTGAATTTCTCTAAGCTCTTCGTGCAGTTGTCTCATAGTGCAACACACGCGTGCGTACGTGCAACACGTGTCGCTCATGACGTGTCTAGCTTGCAATTCTGCGTTACGAATAGTATGTTGCAAAATCATAGGACACCCCCCAAAAATATGAATATCTCGGCTTCTAGAAAAAGCCGTCTATCGCAACTGGTAGAGTCCGATCGTCGCTCTACAAAAACTACCAACAAACGACTGCGTAGTAGGTATTTCGAAATAGTTTTCCGTATTTTAGACAATTTTTTTTTTAGTTTTGTAGTCGTTGCAAAATCATAGGACACCCCTCGGAAGTCTCCTTACAGTTGAATTTTTTTATCCATCCAGCAACGATGGTAGCACTTGTCCGGTGTATGGTAATTCTATTAGAGTTACAGTTTGAGTTGCTCCCTTTCCCTCCGCGAGTGAAAGCCAGACTTTCTTTTTATACGCGCCTGATGGCTCTACCATGAGCATCGAAGCCATTTTTAGGAGCTCAAAGAAAACCATAGCTTGGTGCTCCAAATTCTCACTACGAATAGAAATAAGAGTGCACCAGGATAAATAGCAAGTAAGTTCTCTGAAAAGGATTAGCTATAATATCGAAAGATTACACCGAACAAAACCACCATGTACGGTAAACCTGTTTCAGCTCTACGAAAGAGAGGCTAGAAATGAAAATCCTATAGCTCACTGATATGGACAACTAGCGGAGGGTCCTACAAAGCGTGCTGCCATACTCGTTGGGCGTCCTGACTGAAACCAGAGAAGAGAAATCTAACGAAAGACTGGGCCGAAGCTGGGCTTTGTTGAGCAATTTTTCATTCAAAATAATAAGTAATTTGTTCCTTTCAGACCGCGCTTCTTCGGTAATGAGCAGTTTAACTTTGATGGTTCAGATGACTGCTGTTCACTTGTAAAGAAATATGGGCCAGGATTCGACTTATTCCTTCAACAAAATTTTCGTGATCGTTTCCTAAAGATGTGGTGATGCGTAACCTCATCCTGAGTTCCAGACCTGAAGTTTCTCTTCTCTGGTTTCAGTCAGAACGCCTAACGAGCATGGCAGCACGCTTCACGGATCCCTACACCAGTGTAATCTTCTAGGAGGTTATAGCTAATCCTTTTAGAGAACTTCTGCTATTTATCCTGGTGCACTCTTATTTCTATTCGTAGTGAGAATTTGGAGCACCAAGCTATGGTTTTCTTTGAGCTCCTAAAAATGGCTTCGATGCTCATGGTAGAGCCATCAGGCGCGTATAAAAAGAAAGTCTGGCTTTCACTCGCGGAGGGAAAGGGAGCAACTCAAACCGTAAATAGAATTACCATACACCGGACAAGTGCTACCATCGTTGCTGGATGGATAAAAAATTCAACTGTAAGGAGACTTCCGAGGGGTGTCCTATGATTTTGCAACGACTACAAAACTAAAAAAATTGTCTAAAAATACGGAAAACTATTCGGATGATCTGGCTACTTGTTTGTATAGGTTTTTTAGAGGCGGTTCTGATTCTACCAGTTGCGATAGACGGCTTTTTCTAGAAGCCGAGATATTCATATTTTTGGGGGGTGGGTGTCCTATGATTTTGCAACGCACTGTACGGGCTGTTCCCAGGGTCAACGTTCACGATGGGGCAAATTTATGAATCTAAGGCTTTCTGGAAGCGGTCTTCCATAGACCCCATTCTCCAGTGGGGTTGATGTGTCGTAGAACTTGCAACTAACTTAACACACTTCAACCTCAATTTCAAATTTCAAAAGTCCATGGTGTATTAAAAAGAGGTAATGTCACTCCAGAAACAGCAATTTCTACATGACTCATTATGACTAGCGCACCTCCCTTTCAAGAATCCCGGATACCCATCTTCTCCAATAGCACAAATATAATCCTTTGTTGAATTTGGCCCAGCGAACGGTTGACCCTGCTTGTGCCATGCGCGAGGACCTATTCTATTAGATACTATTATGCCTTCATTACTCCAAACTGTAGCTAATGTTGCATGCAGTTCCATTTGTTACATTTTGTCTACTAGACTCCACATGATACTCAGTGATATCGAGAATCACCAAGCATTGCTCATTATTTACCTCTTTGTGATAACGCTGGACACCGACAACGGCATCTATTACGAAACACCTGATTTCTACTCGTTTTACCGCTTCACTAAGTTTACATAAATAAAATTTTGGAAAAAGTTCACCTTGACAGCTTCCGAAACAAACACTCACGTTGAGTTCATGGCAAAACAAGGCAAAGCTAATTGTCATAAAGGTAGAAGATACAAACAAAACTGTCCTTTGTAAAGCAGGTTGAAATTTGAAAATGGATAATTGTTCACATATTCCAGGCGCGTACACGGCCTGACGACGGCATCCAAGAAAATCCGGCCACTAATGGCTCGTAGTGATAGCTGGATAGATAGATGATAATGATAGTTGTAATTAGTGACAACTGAGAATACAACTGCAACACTAATCATTTCATTGGCAGAAAACATTACATTTTGTGGAGGCCGTCGTCACTTGTGGTGTGTGGTCTGCACTCGACGCGCATCTGTTTTCGGAAGCAGGGGGTACGTACACGCCGTTGCAGAATTTCATACTTAAAGAACACAAGAGTAAAGATGAACGCCGACGCAAAAGAATTGAAGGCACATTTCCTTGGTGAATAGTTTATTTATTTATTTATTTATTTA